AAAAACGCATTTATTTTGAAAATTAGTTATATTATGCTTGCTCGTTCATTATATTTTGTCATAGTTATAATGTATAGTTGAAAACTTAATAATATAAAATACCCATTGTAATATCAATCAATTAATTTTTTAATTTGTGATTATCTGTGATAAAGGTTAATAGTTATGTGTGTGTACGTGTGTGTGTGTGTGTGTATATATATATATGCACGCCCACATATCTACACACATGTATATATACATGGCAGTTAAAGCGATAAATTTGCTTGGTTTAACATGAGTATATATACTAATCAAGGTTGCTGCGAGTAGTCACTTGAATAGGTCCTTCCAGACCCTGTAGGCTAGACTTGCGACGTCTAACAGTTCAAGTCAAGCTATAAACTGGTTACGATTATGATTATATATACACAGTACGGTTACAATTAGATATACACAGCCACCAGCAGACTTGTTCAGCTGGTACAACGATTATCTGGAGGATGAAGAGGAACTAGATGTGAAGGCGGGTGGCGGACAAGTGATGAAAATGGGCGACATTCTCAAACAATTCCTTACCAAACTCGAGTGGTTCTCTACATTGTTTCCACGGATACCGGTACCAATCCAAAAAGATTTAGAGTTGCGATTAGCCGAGCGTTTTCCGCAACAGCAGGTCAATGCACGAAATGCTAAGCCGCCAATCACCCTCAATAGTCATGGCAAGTATGGCAACAAGGATGGTCGTAAGGACAACGGTAATTTGACATCGCGTAATCAGCAACCCCGTCATATCCCCGATAACGAGACTCAGTGGGGTGAGGCCGAGCGCATGAGCCAGTGGCGTGCCAGGTGCGTCCACGTGGTATGAATACAACGATCACGTTATTAATACTTGAATAAATACATATGTAGAGGTCACACACATTTCAAAGATAATTTTTGAAATTTAAATATTTGTTGTTTATATATGTACTTAAAAAAATTATTCTCTTTAATGTACATACAGTTATTGGTGTAACAAGGAGATAAAATATTAATAACTTTTTTCGATCGAGCTTAGATCGAGTTTTATAATCAACCAATCGGGACAACCAATATCATACTTCCGTTCGTACGTGTCTCTTTACAGAACTGATGAGGATCGTAAGGACAAGAATAGAGAGCGCGATCGCGATCGCGAGAGGTTGCGGGAGCGTGATAGAGAAAGAGCTCGCGAACGGGATCGTGAAAGAGACAGATATAGCAAAAGATCGAATAGTCGTGACAGAAATAGAAGACAGAAGGATTATAGAAGCCGTAGCAGAGACAGATCACATAGAGATCGCCATCGCGACAGAGACCGACATCGAGATAGGTAAGGACAGAAGCAAAAATAGGATTTTTTTTTATTTTATGAACACATGTTGTATAGTCATTATATATGTATAATTTTATATTTGCGTTGTAAAATTTTATAAGAATTTGTGTCAAATGTGTTTTATATATAGAACACACAATTTATCATTGCTCAAATTGCTTGCATTTACAATTTTTCATGTATATTAAAAAAAAATAATTTTGATTTTAGGAGAGGCTCACCATATGACTATGCTACAGAATTGGCACGCGAACGCGAAAGGCAACGAAGGGAAAGAGAATGAAAAACGAATACGATTACACACTGTGTACATATTTAATTCTTTCTACGAACTATGTAACGAGCATTAAGAAAAAAAAGTGACAGTAGCTACCGAGCCAAGTCATCACCACCACCACTGCAATCACGATCTCTATCATCAACGTCTGCACTATTTATGTGCGTTCACAGGAGAATGTGTTTTCCAAACGAAATATAAGTCTAAGTTTAATTCTATATTCACATATAGTTTACATGTTTTTATAAAATAAATTCATCACTGTCACTGCTGTTTTTCACTGTGTATCCCACAATATTTTTGCATCACATTTTTGTCACTTCAAGATTTGTCCAAACAAAAAAGGAATTTATCTCGAAGAGGGATTTGTTTTGTGCTATTTTCGTACTGAATAAAAACGTATGGATATATATATATATATCAAATTACGCGTATTAAACAATGATTTCGTGTCAATTTCAATTATTATAATGTTATGGAATATTTTTAGATGATTATTTTGAAAAACGTTTTTCTTTTGGATAAGTTTTATGAAGGAAATCAATACAATAAGACTTTAAATAATTTATAACATTCAAATGTTTAAAAGCAACTTAATAGCAAGTAATTGCATTTTATGCATAGTTTCTTTTCTGTAAAAACGAAATTTAAAATTGCAAAAGCGTTTTTACATATGTTTGACGTTTTACAATGTCCAAGAGTTTCATTCATCATAGCTGCATGACATGAATGAGACGAGAGACGTTAGGACTATAGCTGGGACGCATGAACACATCGCTCCGGCGCGTCTTAAGTGGAGTCGGAGTGGTGAGTAAAAATGGCGACGATGTCTAAACGCGAATGAAACGTCGGCGATACTCGACGATATTGGCGAACAATGAGACAGACGCGAGTTACCAGGTGACAGCGAATGCATGGCCAATTGCTTCAAGGTGAAGATGTGAATCTTCGAAATAAACATTATTGCTGACATTTGTTATCACACCGATATCGATTATTCGAATGTTCGAATATATAAGAGACTTGTAGTGACTTTTAAATTATAAGAATTACATCGAGTTTATTGTTAAAATTCTTGTGTATCTATATAATTGTGATTCAATTGGAAAACGGGGAAATTCGATTAATTATAATTAATGATAACTAAGTATATCCATGTTGATGCAACAATCTCACGGATGTTACAAAGTCGCCATAATGTCACAAACAGGAATTGCGTAATATGGTCACCAGTGACGCGGGAAATTTTGTTTCTCATCTCTTTAATATTTTCTGTGTAAAAGTGTATTGAAAAAAATTATCCTCACAATTTATTAATTTTGGGAAATTATCTTGTATATCTTGCAATTTAAATTTGTAAATAATAAAAAGAAATGTATTTCAATTATAGTTAAATCAATTAAATAATGCTTTAAAAAGAGAGTTAAGAAAATTAAGTTATTGAGATATATAATTTCTTCATGATTTATTAAAGAGTAATATATATAATTAACATAATTTTACTATTAAAGAATTACAATCGCAAAATTAAAAGTTCTTAAAAATTGCAGATGATTGGCCGACGTTGCGCTCTTTTCGCCTTGAGCATCCTTTTGATCTTAGTCCTCAGCGTAAACATCTACTTCATCCGAATGATTGTTGAGAGTTCCTCCTCGCACAGGATGTACGCCAAAAATTTACCGGAATCGAAAGCTAGGCAAGATCCTTCTATGCCCTCGCGATCCGATGAAAAAGATTCGCAGCTGCAATTAAAGTCAATTGTAAAAATTATTGGCGAGGGGATCAAAGAGGAGATTCGTTCATTGCCCTCCAAATATTTCAAACAGAATACAAGTTATACTATCGTCCTGGAACGATTGCTAGCCGAATTGACGATAATGCCAAATGTCCGTGAAGACATTTGGAATATTCCCAATAATAATGTTAGTTAAAAAATTCTTTGAAATATTTTACATTTCATAATATGAGAGATACAAAAGATTTTTAAGTATAATTTAGAGAAAGAAATAAATTGAAGAAACAAATATATATATATATATATATATATATATATATATACATATATAT